AAATTAAATTTCAACACCAAAAATTATTTAGAAAATACAAACATTTTAGAACACTGTTTTAGGAAACACAGAAGCTTACAAATCCCATTTGCCCTCTTTACTTTAACATTTAAATATACTTTATAAACCTACTACTCTGTAAAACACCTCCCTACGTATTATGACTATTTTGTAGGATACTTACTTCATTTTGACTTGGTTTACTACTTCCAAACTCTTACTACTCTAAATCAGAAATCCCCACTGGATGATCTTATCCTCATTCCCTCCTCTTTTGTTTTTAGTTTTATACATACTTTCCTGCCATCAGTATTTAACATCCTATATGTTTATTCAACATCTATGTATTTAATGTGTTTGACATCTATGTATGTCATTCCTCCTCTATGGTAGGTGCTTGGGATGCAGCAATGAACAAGATAGATACAGTTCCTACCCTCACTACTACTGTCTAGTTGAATGTCCGTATTCACTGAAAAATTTACTGAAAATTTTACTGAAACTGAAAAATTTACCTCATCTTTGGTTGCTTAGAGACTACCACTTGCCCTTCATTATTAATAAGCATTATCTCACAGAATACTTCTCTGTAGAAAGGCTCTAAAAACAATCTGTCTCTGTATTTCTCTGACTTCTTTGTGATTCATTGTTTGTTTTTATTTATATATTTAACAGCTTAAAACCACCTCCCTACTTCAAAGGCAGGAAACAGAGAGCATAAGAATCATCTGAGCTACCACTGCAAAACAAACACACATCCTATAATTTGAATTCATTTTGGAACTTTCTCTTTTTGTTCGTGATCTTGTGACCCTTTTGTTATCGAGTTCAGTGTATATGAGGTAGCCCTCACCATTCTCATCGTGAGCACAGGAGTGTTGGCATCAACCCTCCTAGATTTTATTCATTAGAAATAATCATTAAATAAGCTGAACACAGCATAATGTTAACACTATTTGCCTCAAGTTTTACTGTGCCTATTTAAAGTAGGGGAAATTAGTTTCATCTCTGGAGATGTCAAAGAAAGGCACTGTGATGGAAGAATCACTGAACCAGACACTTCATACTGAAGAGTAAATTGAAACTGAAATGGGAAATAGGTCAAGTTTAAGGAGAAACTGCAAGAAAGCTAACAGTGAGACTTGAGAACTATTTAAAAATTTTTTTTACAATATATAGTTTGTTAAAAATATCTTTTCAGGTGAAAAATATTGGACTCTCGGTGTGACCTTTAAAGACAGGCAATACCCCTGACTAAGTTTTCTAGGCTGAATTGCCTGAGCATGTTAAAGATGAACATAGGAATCTAATCAGAACATTTATTACACCGTAAAGCAATTTTCTGAAAATGTTACTCAGCTCTATGACCTCATTACCAGGCATCTGTTCACAAGGTCAATGTACAAGTTCATTTTGGCTGAGCAAAGCACAAACATATGAAGGAGCTTCAAGGATTTTGTTGAGGGTGTTCAGCATTCCATAGCTTTCACGAGAAATGCAGGTGGCTTTTGTACAGACGAGCAACACGGCTGCCTGATGAAGGACGTATGAAGAAAAGTACCGTTAGTCATATTAACCATCTCTTAGGGTTTTCTCTGGCAGCCTTTTCTTGGTGAATTTTTTTAGCAGATATTATTTAAAAAGTCAATTATCACAGAAATTAGAGCCTTACAGTTACAGTTTCTGAAATCTAATTTACTTTAAATGATGATTAGATCAGAAATCCTGACATCTTGCTGTCTGTTTTAATAGCTGCCTGTTTGTGAAAGGATTTGAGGAGATTCATCTGCTTAGTATCATCCATTTAAAAAGTGAGCCCCTGTTCAGACAATGGAGAAGAAAGATCATATTATTTTCCCTGCAATCTAGAGAAGCAGGATATTATAATGAAAGTTGAATTCTATAGCAGTTGAGTTATCAGCATTTTTTAGCCCTGGTTCTGCCACTCATTAGGAGATTTGGGGAAATCTTCTGCACTTATCTAAGTATCCATTTTCTTACTTGTAAAATGAAAAAACCCTTATACTCTAAAGCAGTCGTTCTCAACTGGGGGCAGTATTGCCATCCAAGGGACATTTCGCAATATCTGGAGACATTTTGGGAATATCCAACTGAGGGAAGGGGTACTGCTACTAGCATCTAAGGTGTAGAGACCAAGGATGCTGCTTAATATCCTACAGTGTGCAGGACAGCATCCCCACACACAAAAAATCTATCCCAAAACAGCATCAGTGCTGAGGTTGAGAAACCCTTCTCTAAAAGTATGATGAATCAGAAAAGGCTAAAAGGATACATAAATATGTATAGGTAGTTTGGGGTGGTGGGTTACAAATCTTTATTTTCTTTTTTATATTTTTCTCTGTTACAAACATTCTTCAATAAATATATATTGCTTTAATCTTAAAACCACTAAAATATATTATTCACTTAATGCAAATACAGTCAATTCCATTCTTGCTAGGCGTGGTCAGATTAATTCCTGAATGTCCATAGGGAAAAGGCATTGCCCTAAAAACTGGGAACTAACCTGATCTGCAATTATAATGTAGTATGTCAAGATCAACAAGAAATAGAGCTTAATGGCTATTCATTATTGAACAATATCCTAAAAATTATTCTGTAAAGGATTGTTTGTATGCTTGTAAGATTATGTTATTGCTGATTATGTTTTTGAATTCTTAATTTTAGAATTCGAAGAGAATAGGTTGAAAGTTTTATACAAAGATGCTGATAAGCACAGTAAATTCCCTTATTTAACAGAAAATATAGTAAGTTTAATGTAATATTTAACCAGAAAATGAAGTGTTTAAACAAAGGCAGAATTGTTTGGGTATAATGAAGTTAGAATTAGCCAGACATGCAAGGTCCCTTTTTACAGATGTCAGCTTGAGGTGGATATGTGAGTAGATGTTCAGATGTCCTTTTGCCCTTGGATAAAAATGAGCTCTGTGTGGGGCCAGCTCATGGAGCTGCTTCTCAGATGGAGAATCCTTTCCAGACCTCAAGCTTAATCCTTTCCGTAGCTCAAAGCTAAATGGGTTAGATTTGGACCCAGCCTTCCCACCCAGTCAGCCCTTACAGTGTCCTCAGTTTCTTAAATGGATGTTCTGGGCTCATCTAGATTCAAACCCTGAGAACTTTGAGCAACCTGAAGGCAGGAACACTTCTGCTAATGATATAAAATATTCTACAGAATACTTTTGAAAATTACTTTGACTCTTTCTTTCTCATCATAATCCTTCTGTTACTTTCTCTTTGATTTTTAGAACCAATTTTAACATACACAGTGTACATAAAATTCTGTAGAGAACAGAATCTAAAATGCTGGGATATCGAGTTACCTTGTAAGTGGTAACTCCCTTCCAAGTTATTGACTAAGAGTGCTGTTTCCACACATATTTTCCTCCTCAGACTAGAACCTTTCTTCATTTTTCTTATACTTTTGGCTTAATATTGTATAAACCAAATAGAAGAAAACAAATGAACAAAAAATTATTAATTTAAAGAAAACCTCAGTATCTTTTAGCATTGTTATGGACAGTGACTATAATGCCCTATTTGTGCCCTCAAAATGTAGAAAAAAATTTTCTTTTAATGATGTGAACAAGGGGTTTAGATACAGGAAAAATGATCAAGAAATGGGTCATAGATTTTTATACTGTAACATATTAAAATGAAAACTTCACTATACTGTCTATGACTAATTTTCTAATACTAAAGAAATTTGGGGGGGGAAGGGGGGAAAAATCACTCATCTAATCTGCCTAAACATTACACTGTTTTCATTTTTTAATATTTTCCCTAATTATAATCATACTGCATATTGTACCCAAACTGTGCATATGATTTAGAATTATGAGGTCGAGGAGAGGTATTGCCACTTAACATTTTATTGCAAACATAACTCCCTTATTGATGGACTTTTTGTGCTGAAGACATAAAAATTGGAGGGAATAGGAATTTATAATTACACCTCTCTTTTAAAGTAGTCACATTGGATATTTATATTTTTGTTTTTATATAATGTTTTTGAGTTTCACAATACTGCAGTAATTCTCTCCCCATATTAATTCTATTCTGGGCCCATAAGAAAATATACAATCGAAAAAGTGATTTTTCAAAGTCATAATGGCTGTTGAAGTGCTGTGGGTCCTCAAAGATGGTACACAACCCCTTTTTGCTTTTCCTTGTAGTACCTGGCCTTTCTCAGGGATTGATCATCAATAATACTTGGGGCTATAGGGTTGGATACTCAAGAGCTACGTTAAGATCTAGGCTGTAAATAGATCACCCAGATGCCTCAGGGTTGGTTTTTGCCCACCTTCAGTCTAAACCTGAAGCAAACTCCTGGTGGATGGTGTAATCTACCCATATCAATACCCATAACCATACCTGTAGTTTGGTGCTGAACTTCTACATATAAACGCCAGAGTTTACATTAAAATATGCTGCTATCTATGGAGAACTCTCTAGCAGTCAAGAATAACGAAAAAGAAGAGGCATAAAAAGAGTGTTTGGTTTACTTATTGAATACTGAATAGCAATCCCATACCAGGCGCACCAGGAGAACAGAAGAAGCCTAAGATGTGTCTCTCTCTTCTAGTCCCTTAAAATCTTGCTCTGGAGGCAAAATATATACAGCACAGCAACAGAACTAACAATAATGTGTGAGTTCATTTGTGAGATATGCCCTAAGTAATTAGCTGATTATACTCATTAAAGATACCAAAGTTTATGGATGATATAAAGCTAGACTGATTCAATGGCACTTTGACTCATTTGCATGCTGACATGTACTTTGAGTGGGAGGGTTTGGGAGTTACAGTAGAGGGTATCCTGCATGTGTTTGGCAATAGGAAAAAGTCAAGAATTGCTGAGAAGAGGGCACAGAAATACAAAGGTAGGAAAAGAGAAAATGACTGTTCTGAGAAAACAAGGCATCTGTTTCAGATGAACACCGGTCACTTCCTTTTAGTGTGTCTCTGAAGTCTTCTGCCCTCCTCTATTAAATAAGTGAATTATATCTGACAAAAAGAGAGTATAATGAATTAAACCATGCCAAGAATGTTTAAAGATGTGTGGAGTCCAATTTTTTTTGAGGATATAGGCCCTTTAATTTATTAATTCTTTTTCATAATTCAAAAAATGTGGTAAAAGTACAAAGTGTAAGTGGGGTATGGAAATGGTGTTCAGGTTTGACATAATAGGGTATCACTAACTCAGACTAGCTAAATCAAGACTCATGAATAAAGACCTTTTTCTTCAGTGGAAAATACATGTTAGCAATAATGTTGGAATGCTTATAGTGCTTTAGGCTTTAACATTTAGAGATGAACCATTATGGATGAGTTTCTACAGTAACATTATAACTAGAGGCAATCATAAATTCACGTGTGAGAAGAAGAAATATTAAGTATAAAAGAAAACCTTTAGAAGAATATTTTTAATCCAGCTATAAATAAGAAATGGGTCATCTATATGCTATGCAAAATTTCAGAGTGGATAAATTTAGAAATTATTTTTTTCTCTTTACAAAGCTTTACACTTTAGGGGGGAAATGTAGTTATGTCTGAAAAGTTCAGAAATGTCCCTTTAAAAGATGTGCATGATGGAAATATTCTATATCTACACTGTTCAATACGGTAGCCACTAGCCACATGTGGCTGTTGAGCATTTGAAATGTAACTAATGCAATTAAGGAGCTGAATTTTCAATTTTATTTAATGTTAGTTACCTGAATTTTAAATACCCACTTGTGCCTAGTGTCTACCATATTATTTAAAAAAAAAAAGGCGTTATAATGACTTAAAGTCAAATGGTGTAGTCGCAGATATGCCTTGCCAGATGGTGAATTCATTAACTGAATATCGTTTCATTCTAAAGATTCTTTGGCTCTTAAAATTTTTTTAATGTGTTCTAGGTAGAGCCATTACCACTCCTGACTTAGTTTTAAAACTTTAAAAAGTTCCTCTAAATCATAAACTTAAGCCCTAAAGCGCTAGTTTTAGGAGAGAGCAAAATTATGGATGATGTTTTACTGTGAGGGTAACTCATCATACATTTTTTTTCATTTTCAAATTAAATCTAAAGAAATGCTTGGCAGTGGAGTGTACTGATATCTGTAACTTGCTTTGAAATGCATTAAGGGATGGCTTGATGGATGGATAGATGGTATATATGTGGTAAAGCAGATACAGCAAAATGTAAACAATATATGGGTATCTACTGTAGAAATCTTTCAGATTTTCTGAAAGTTTCATTATAAAGCGAATAAGCTTCATGATAAAATGTTGGCAAAAAGTTAATTGTAAATATATCACTATTTTTAAGAGTATTTTTTTCTTGGATCTATCACTTCTCTGTTGAATAGAGCCAAGGAGCAATAACGGAACGTTTACGAAGTTTCAGTATGCATGATCTAACAGCTATCCAAGGTGATGAGCCCGTGGGACAAAGACCATATCAACCTCTACCAGAAACAAAAAAGAAAAGTAAACCAGCCTCTGGTGAATCAGCAGGTGTGCTTGTTTTGTTTTAATGTGTTGTTCTTTCATAATTGGGATTTTGAGTCAAGATGGGTACTAAAATAATACCTGGTAGCCATCTGAATTTGGTTAGACAAAATTTATTTTTAAGCTTACAGTTTTGAGCTTTACGCTCAACTGTAGGTCTCTTCCTCTAAGTTTTCTCTAAATAGAGTGCTTGCCTTTTGTTGACTCTGGAGATAATACAGCTAAGAAAGTAGCAGTGTTCTCTTGTGCTGCCATGAATTTTTAGCAGCAGTGGGTGTGGTTCCCATCACCTCCCTACCACCAGCAATAGTTCTGACCTGTGATCAATACTCTTGCTATTCAAACCATGTAGTGACATCTAAGGAATTTTGTAATTAAACACTCTTTACCGTAAGTGCTGTAAACAAATAAGGATATTGACTCATAAGATAAAAGTTTTAAGCAGGTGACAAAAGGACCAGTTTGAAAACAGGATTACTCCAGTGGAAAAATGTGTTGAAGTTATGTATTCTAGTTTAAGAACTAACTTATAGTACATTGTAATGTATATTATGAGCATGTCATAGTTGATAACGTTCTAAAACTTATATAAATTATTGTGATTGTAGAAACATACACATAAACAAACAGACATAGTTTCTTAGTTATTTTTTCACATATAAGAAATTTGTAGTTATAAACAACAAGGACCTACTTGTTGTTTAGCACAGGGAACTATATTCAATATCATGTAATAACCTATAATGAAAAAGAATATGAAAAATAATGTATGTATGTATAACGGAATCACTGTGCTGTATACCAGAAACTAACACAAAATTGTAAATCAACTATAGTTCAATTTAAAAAAGAAGTTATAGTTAAAGGCTCAGCTAAGAACTAACATCTGTAGGAAATTTTTTATGAACATATTTTTAAGTCCATAAAAAATAAGGCTACTTGGTTTTTTTTAAGTAGAAATCTTCTTTTGAGGGAGACTGAAAATCATTCTTTATAATTAAAATGAATTTGAATAAGATAACAGTTTCTTCTAACAAAGGAAAAATTGTGAACTTTCTTCTAAGTTCTACCTAGAGTGAATAACTTTACAAAGTTGGTGGCTATTAACTAAGAGGTAATAATTAAATACTGGCCATTGCTTAAGGTACTGACATCTTTAAGAGTGAGGAACCTTTGAACTTTGAACCATCATCCTCAATACTTTAATAACGTAAAAGCAGTTCCTAATATAGGTGTTTTCTTAAGCATTTAAAATTAGGTATACTGATTTTGATTATGGAGTCTGCTGTATATATTTTGCTGATTCAGTCCCATAATCTGCATCCTTTAGCAGCAGTTTATTCATAATTATACCTTAGAATTAGTTAAGAATTATATTCCAATTATTTAAATGAGAACAGGATTATAAAAATGAAAATCTATAGCACTATTTTTATGACATTCATTTATTAAATTTAAGATGGTATGACTAAAATATTTGAAAATAAGGAGGTGCCATTTAGTTCTTCTGCTAAATTTCAAACCATGGAATTAAAATAACTTAAGATTTGTAAAAATACAAAGTAAATGGTAGCATTACAAGAAAAGTCCTTGTTCAGTTATAAAAATAAAATTTTTAATTGCTTTACTTTGCCCAAGTTCCACATTTTCTACAGAACAGTATGTATTCTGAGCTTTTCTTCCCTAAGGAAAAAATTAAGCAAAACTTTCTCTCTTGACAATATTTTTGCTAAAGTAGTATGGTTCCAGGACAGAATAGTTGAAAAGGAGGTAATAGCAGATAGTACTGTAACATAATCTGGACACAAGTCCAGGTATACCTGGTAGTTTGTCAGATGAGAAAGATGAGCCTGGCTGGGGAAAGGCAGATTAATAATTGACGTCAGGATAACTGCTAGACTTAGAAGGTAGGGTAGGGAATGAAGTTATACCTCTATCTCAAAGCTTCAATCAACAAATCTAAAAGATTAAGACTTCAGTGTAAGAAATTAAACCATATAGTAGGAAATTCCTGTGTATGTTTTTATATTCTTAGGATAGATCAGACTTCTTAAGAATGACATCAAAACCAGAAAACATAAAGGAAAAGTCTGAGAGATTTTTCTATAGAAAAAACCCCATAAAACTACCATATGGGGTGGGGAGAACCAACATCAAAAACGGCAAAATACTACAAACTGTAAGAAATATTCTCATTATATGTTGCAGGCAAAGGGTTCAAATTTTAACAATCCAAGAATCCTTACAAGACAATTGTCGTCGATTCTATCAGAGAATACAGCTGACCAAGAAATAAATGAAAAAGATACTCAACCTCACCAATAGTCAGAGTAAATTAAAATAGTAGCAATTGTAATGTTTGCTCACCTGATTATCAAAAAACTTGTTTTAGTTAACAGTGCTCTATGTTGGTAACTCTTCTAAGTTATCGCTTCATTACAAACCACTCACAAACAGTGGCCTAGAAAAATTCCAGTCCTTTATTTTGCTCCCAGATCTGGGAGTGATTGGACTGCAAGGTAGTTCTTGCTCAGGGTCTTATGCGGCTACAGTCAGACAGCCCCTGGGGCTGGAGTTGTAATCTCAAAGGCTTCCTCACTCACAGGTCTGACGACTGAGCTGGGAAGAGTCCAACAGCCAGCAGCTAAACCAGTTGGGGCTTCTCAGACATCTCTCTCTAGATCTCTCCACATGGTCTCTGAGGGTCATTGGGCTCCTTCCCTGGGGGCTGAAGGCTTCCAGAGCCAGTGTCCCAAGAGAAACAGGCAGAAGTCGTGCACTCTGCCTTGTGGCCATTTGTTGAGGCAGGTACAAAGGCCCTCAAAATTTAAGGGAAGGGGAGTAGAGTGTCAGACAATTTGTAGATGGACGTGTATTAAAACCACCACAGCAAGCCTCTGGGAAACAAACACTCTCATACACTTTGTATGAGAGTTTAAAGTGGAATAATCCTTCTGGATGACAATTTGGGAAGAATTATCAAAATGTTTTCTCTTTAACTCAGCAAGAAACTTCTAGGAATATGTCATAAGGAAATAATCAGGCAAGTGTTCAAAGATGTATGTATAAAGATGTATGAATGTTCTTCTTGTTGTTTATGGTAACAAAATATTGGAACAAGCCAAATGCCAAAGGGAAATGTTTAAGCAAAAAGGTGGCTTATTAGCCATGAAAAATAGTCAGCTTATACTTACAAGGAAACATAGCCAGGTTGTCGGGGAGAGAACAACAAAGAAATAATACGTGTGTTATGAGACATAATAGATAGATGATAAAATGGATTAATATATGTAAAGCTACTTTTCAAGTATATGTATATAAAGAAGAGTCTGGAAGGGTATCACTAAAATGTTAACAGCCTTTAGCTCTGAGTTGTGGGATTTTAGTCATTTTTTTAATCAACCAATTACTCTTAAAATCAGAAATAAAACAACTCTACCTCTCCTTTTGAAAATAATCAAGGTACTCATTTTCTTATACCATGAATTTTTTCTATTTCATTTATTTTCAAAATTCCTTAAAAAGAAAGGCAAATTGTTAAGTTTTTCAGTGTGGAAATTACATTCACATTGCAAAGTCTGTTTCCCAGTTCACATAATCAATACATTTACCTCAGAACACAAGCAAATTCAAGTATTTGGAAAAGTGTTTCCCTTTTGAAAACTAATAATGGCCTGCTCTGAGCTGTTTGAGGTTAGCTGATCAAGAGAAGTGCTGCTTTGATGTTGTCACTTCAGGAAAAAGAGCTCCCTCCAAATGCTTTTTTTTTTTTTTTTTTGGTAAAAAAATGGACACCTTGAACATGATGTTCAGTTCCTCAGAAAGAATACCACATTCTGATAAGTGGAAATATTTTTTTCTGCAAAGAACCTGCTGCTCCCATATTAGTTAAAAGTGGTTCAACATTCAGTTTCAACATACCAGCAGATATAGAGACTTCTGCTTTTTCTTGTTTTAGATGCTTTACATATTTATTTAATTCTTAAGATGACTATATAGGTTAAATATTTTTATCCTTATTCTGTCAGTGAATAAGCTGATATTTAAGGAGATCAAATTACTTGTCAAAGACTATGTACTCAGTGACAGAAATGAGATAGCCAAGATTCCTAACCTAATTCTTATTCTCTTTTTACTTTATAAAGAGACTACACTTAGTGAGGCACTTTGACTGTAACCATGAATTCAAACCATTTAGCAGGAGGGAATCTTAGAGATGCTTTAGTCAGACGGCAAATAGGTAACATGCCTCCTACCTTATTCCGTGCCCATGGCAGACATTGCTAATGGATGGTGGCACTTTCCACGATGGGCTCAGAATCCCATCAACATAGTGCTCCCAGCAGCTCAACTGGCTCAGAGTTGGCTCTCATGTAGAAACCTATTCATCTCCCATCTGTCTCACCACCTTACCAGATAAGAAAACTGGCCCACAGAGGCAAGACTCACTCAAGGTCTCACAGCTAGTAAGTGGCAAAGCACTCATTTCTCTTCACCTGGGTGCAGGGCTCCTTCCACAATGATAGCTAAGACTCCTGCCAAGTCAAACTTTCCATGAATCTGCACTTACATAAATACATGAAAATTGCTTAGAACAGTGCCTGGTACATGCTAAATACTAGATCAGTATTGGCTATTGTCACTATTACAAGGAGGTAGAACCATACCAACTCTAAGATCTGCTTGTTTCCTAAAATGGTATCAGAGCTCTGTGCTGAAGCTGGCCAAACAGCTGCAGTCTTAGGCCCCAGGACCCCCAGCAATGCAGGCTCCTCGTTCTTAGGTCCCCAGTCACTGCTTCTCAGGAATGTGCATGGACGACACCATTCTGAGGGCTCTGTCCAGTCTAGACTGGTGATGTAAAGTGGCCGGCCTTAGCATCACCTTTGTTTGGCACCAGCAGCACCCCCACCAGCTTCATCTTGCCTGGGGACTGGCAGACCCACAAACCACTCAGCCAGCTCACTGGGTTCCTTGCTCAGATATGGCATCCAGACATGGGCTTCTCTCATAATCTCAGGTCTCCCCCTCCTCCTCTGAAGGCTTTTAAATCCTTAGACAACTTTGACTTACACTATTTCCACCACTCACAGCAGAATTTTCATACACACTTATTTTCAGGTTTAATGTGGAATAGAAAGTGCATATCTTAGCGAAGATATTTGACTTGACTCCTCGCTTTTTGATGCAGTTTGGTTTAATAAGTTGCTAAGTTAAGCTTGTCAATTTCACCTCCTCATAGATCTCAAATTTGGCTACTCTCTCCACGATCCTGGGACTCCATCATTTCTGACCTGTTGTACTGCAGTAACCTCCCTGCTTCTAGTCTCATCCACTTCTGATTCATTCTCCAAAGTACAAGAAGAATCTTTTAAAGAACCTAGATCTAATAACATCACCCTTCAGCTTTAAACGGCCCCACTTTGTTCTCCGATGAAGTCCAAACTCAATAGCTCCCCAGCCTTGGTCTCCCATTCCTTCATGTGCGAGGTATATTCAATCATGAGCCTTTCAGGATTCAGTCTAGCTGCCACCTCCTAACAGGAAGTCTTCTTTCACAACCCACTTCCCTTCCCCTACTGTGTGCTCCCATTGCACCTTGTCCTTATCTTCTATTTGCAGCATTTATTACGGTTTTGTGATGCGCATTAGACTCTGTTTCGTCTAGTGGACTGTAGATTTCTTAGGGAAGTAAAAGGCAGTTGTATCTTTTTCATCATTGTATCCCCATAGTTCAGTACAGTGCCTCACACTTAGCAGTATTTTAAAAATACCTGTGGAATAACTGACTAATCAATCCATCACTTTTCCTGAAATAACAATTAGAAAGCTAAGATTCTTAGCTGAAGTTAGGAAACAAAGAAAGAATAAGAGGTATGTATAATCATCTTTTTGAATGAAATTCCAATTCCTAATCATATAAAGTGAGAGGCAGTTAAAGTAGCTAGGGCCATGTTTGTTGACATGCAGTCTTATGCTTCATCCGTGGCCTTAAACTTTTCAATCATAATCGCTTTCCTTTCTGATTCTTTTCCATGATTCCTTGATACCGTCGTTTTATTATATTGGGATTAGGAATTTTGTATAAGCAACAGCAACAGAAAGAAATCTAGAAATGGCAATCTAAAATTTTTTGTCTGGTTTATTTTCCCCAATTATAGAAGTAATACAATCGTTTAAATAAAAAATTGGCAATTTTTTTATAGGCAAAGTGAAGAAATTTAAAATCAACTAAAAGCTCACTTCCAACAGATAGAATGGTTTCATTTATATGTTTTTCCTTTGTTTTTTTCTATACATACTTTTTTTCCCCCACTTAATATTGTACCAAGAGGATCTTCCTAGGAATGCTGACCCCCATCCTCTCCCCTGGCCACATTGGCCTCCTCATAGCTCTTCCACACAATTATGCTCCCCACTGTCCTAGTCCCTTTGTACATACTAATTTCTTCTACACAGAACACACTTCCTTTGACTGCTGTGGGAAAGCAAAGGACCCTGGCCTTAATAATGACTGATTGTACTTCCAAGTCCTTCCTAATTTCTAGCCTAGAAGTCTTGCAGCACAAAAGTGTACTTGCTTAACATATAATTAAATATGTTTATCTTACTGATAAACGTAAGTGCTTAGTGAGGTTAAGATTATTCATGTTTTGTGAGAGCAGATTAATATACATTTATTCAGGATATTTTTCTTCACATGCAAGAAGCCTATCCCATCTTCCTTCTCAAGCCTGGAAAACCTGCTATTTTTTTTTTTCCTCACCTGAAGATTTAGGTATTTATGCTCCTTATCTTTATTAAAGGAGAATTTGAAACTTAATGGGGCCTTGTACCTTCACTCTTGTCTTTATAACCTACCTAGTTCTCTTTTGCCTTAGACTTGGGCCCCTCTCTTACTTCATCCAGGCCTTGGTTCTCAAAGTGTGGGCCCTGGACCAGTAGCATCAGCATCACCTAGGAACTTGTTTGAAGTACAGATTCTCAGCCCCACCCCAGGCCCAGCAATCTGTGGATGGATCAATTATCCAGATGACTCTAACATATGCTAATAAGTTTGCTAATAAACTCTAATAAAGTTTGAGAGCTACTGCTTCAGGAATGGGAGCATTCCTGTCCCTGAATCCCATCCTCAGGATGCTCTCAGACTTCCTGACAATAACCAGCCTGACTGCCTGGATGTCTGCATATTGGCCAATGTTAAGTCTTTGTAGCTACACGCAGCAGCCTGTGAGCACACCTGCACAATCTTGTTGTTTATTTGGGTTTTTTGGAGGGGAGAGGATGGTAATTAGGTTTGTTTGTTTGTTTGTTTGTTTGTTTGTTTTATTTATTTTTAATGGAGGTACTGGGGAATTGAGCCCAGGACCTTGTGCACGCTAAGCATACATTCTACCACTGAGTTAAACTCTCCCCCCGACTCCTGCCCCCATATGATCTCTCACTGACCTTCCTGATGCTGGCTGTTTTCTTTGGCTAACATCAGTCATCATAGCCTGTGGTGTTTCTAATTACTGTAGCCTGTCTGGCTGGGTTTTATCTCAGCAGCTGCAACAGTGTTGATTTAACATCTTCACCTGCCCACAGTGAACTTATCTTGCCCAAAGTTCTAGCTCCTTTGGGTCTTATATGACTCCTTAAGTTCACCCTACCATTTCTGGTTTTGACAAGAAGTATGACACATGGGAGTGGGAAGGACCCTTAATTCCTAATTGAAGTCAAAGGTACAAATGACAGACCAAAAACACACTATTGCTTAGGTTGTTTAGAATTCATAAAAAGGAAAAAGGGTGGGAAGAGACTTTTCACTATGTATCTATTTATATTCTTTGATTTATTTTTTCATTGAAGTATAGTTGATTTACAATGTTGTGATAGATTCAGATGTACAGCAAAGTGATTCAGTTATGCATATATATCTATTCTTTTTCAGATTCTTTTCCATTACAAGATATTGAGTATAGTTCCCTGTGCTATACAGTAGGACCTTGTTGGTTATCTATTTTATATACAGTAGTATGTATATGTAAATACCAAACTCCTAATTTATCCCTCCTCCCACTTCCTCTTTGGTAACCATAAGTTTGTTTTCTATGTCTGTGAGTCTCTTTCTGTTTTATAAATTTTTTTTAATTTTTGAACAAGATAAATGTGCTAACCTACTCAAAAATAAAACTTTTTAATTATTCTTAAAAATGTATAGTAAAAATAGAAATGGATGGTCAAGGAAAACTTCCTGGAAGAAATGAGTTATGAGCCTCATCTAGAATAGTGCAAGGGGCAAAGATTAAGGGTGACGGGCATGGAACACATCCCAGACAAGAAGGGGAGAGGAGTAAGCAGGCAAATGCAGGCCATGCAGAGAACTGCCAGCAGACAGAGTGAAGAGGCAGTCCCGACTGGCATCCTTTTACCAAAACATGCTGGTTTTGACAACTCATCTAGGTTATGGAATTCCACTGAGAGACGGAGATGAGAAAACAGATGAAGAAGTGGATGGGCCATATTCAGATGATGAGATGTTAACACACAAAGGGCTGCGAAGATCACAAAGCATGAAATCTGTGAAAACCGTGAAAGGCCGAAAAGAGGTTAGTCAAGTATAGAGTTGTTTTCCTAGTGGTTAGTAGTAAGGAATTTCTCTGCTGCATTTTCATTGAGGATGTTAATGGTCCATAAATGAAGGATTAGAATGGTAGAGCAGCAGTTATATTTAAAATTCTTTACTTAGATCAGATGCATTAGGATCTCTGGAAATTTAGAAAGTGGTAAATTCCTAGTCTTCCACTCTAAGTAGAAAATGGTATTCTCACCTAGCAAAATCATATGGTTGTCATAAGTACCCAGTGCCAGCCCTACGCATAAACAAAGAAAGGAAGCTAACTATATTAACTACATAGTTTTGTTTTGAAACAAATCTCAATAAGGATTAATAGTAAAAGTCTATCCATAATAATGTCTCTGTGCCCAGAAAGCAATGGCAGATTCCAGTGAATGACCTCAGATCTATGAGCAATGTTCATTGACATGTACCAAGCAAAGCATAAATAACAAGTTAATGTCTCTATTTGTTGTTATAACTATCGTAAGCCCTAACTACATTTTTGAGTATATAGGTAGTGCTGTCTATTTTGTACTTACAGAATAATTGATTCTTTATATCAGAAAAGTTAAAAAATTATTACTATGATTATGAACTATTAAGTCTTATCTAATTTCAAAATCTGATTGGTAACAATATTTCTCTCTTTAGGTGCGGTATGGGTCATTAAAATACAAAGTGAAGAAGAGACCACAGGTGTATTTTTAGCCATGTACACTTCAAGTATCCCAAGACAAATTATACTAATACATTAATTTTTTTCTAACATCATATATTCAGGATTTATACACTAAAATAATTCTTTAAATTGTGGCGGTGATAGGATTTACTTTCATCAATTTAAATAGTCTTTATTTCTTTAACAATTACTTCCAAATCTAAGGTAGTTATGCAAATATATATGTGTGCATATATATATCAGAAATAATAGAAAACTGTGTAATTGATTTTCAAATTCCTCAAAAACATTAGGTGCCTGGGATACAAGATGAAACATAAAACCCACGGTATACTTGAAAAGAGTCTTTTTATGGTTCAAGATACATCAGCCTTTGTGATACTGTATTGTATTTACCTCCACTTACGTTATCTATCACATGAGGATAGAAATTAAATAGGCTTCTGATTCAGCAGTGATAGGACAAGGGTATAATGTAAGATAAAATGTTCTATATATTCTTAAATTTTTTACTTTGTTAATACTTTCTAGTTTTTCCACCATCAAGTGAAAGTTTTCAAAACAAATATTTGAAAACCAGGTATCTATATAGCACTTTTATTCCTAACTAGTTTTGCACACTTGAAAATTGTTTACTTATTTTACAACTGTACGTTTATTTTAAGTTTTATTAACACTAACTTTGTTATTTGCCATATTCTGACATGTCAAATTTACGCCTTGAATTACATCATCTCTTTTCCTGTAGGTTTCACTAGTTACATTCATTTGATTTTAATAATAAAAAAATAGAGCATGTTGTTCAATTTTAACTACTTTTACTTAACTTCTTTACAGATAAGAAATTATTGTAAACACTTACCGGTTTCTCATGTTTAGCTCTATGTTGTAGTTGAATTTAGCATGTTTTTGTTAACATTGGTTACATTTTCAGCTTTTAAAAGCGGTAGGTTTTGTGAAATGGAGTCAGACACCAGAATAGCATTTAGGTATCTTCTAATTCATGAAATTATCCAACAGTCAATCCTTTCAAGCTTGGCACTGTTACGAGCTGCTGATTTATAAATCTGGCATTGATTAGAACCATTTGCATTGCTTCCGTTCTGGCTGAGATAATTTCCTGAAGTTACATGCCAATGCAGAATACAAATGTTGTTAATCTTACATATTAGAAGTTATTAGAATAGATTTTAGAAAAAAAGTCTTTTTAATCCAAGAGATTTTAAGTTACTGAACTTTGAGGCTTTTTTAGGTGGCATAGATAACTACGCATTATGAACTCTAAGTCAGGGTATCTCTGGTGATGGTTTTAGTGATCAGTAATCAGATTTGTACAATTATCCTTGTTCATATAATTTACTGGATTGTTCTGCTTATTTGTCCAAAAGAAAAAACAATGAGGGAGATTTGTGAGATCTTTGACCTTTCTACCTTTTAAGAAATAAAGCCAGCTGGCAATGTATATTCAGGACCTCCTCAGAGTGCTGGTAGAGGACAGAATGTTTATTCAAGAGTACCTTAGTATAATTCATACAATTCTCTTGATACAAGTCTTAAAATGTTTTTGAGATTATCTCACGTTCTTGATCTGCAACACCAAGTAAAAATTCATTCAACTTATTTTCCCCAAAGTTTAATTCTATGAATATCTTCCTCTACTTTACCTTGACTAATTTTTAGCTTCTTGGTTTCTGAAAATACTCTTTGCGTTCAAAATTCTTATGAATTCTGATTATAAACTCTTGGCAGAGTGTTTTATTTATATTGCCTAGTACTAGACTAACAAATACAAATGCTACGTACACCATGCTTGTCTTTCCTACATAAGGGCAGTGTCATCTCAAATTGCCCGACAAGGTCACATAAGTGACTTTGTATCAAAAACATTACCTTTGGGGGCTGATTTGCACGACTGTACTTTTTTCAAGTCTAATTTCAGTATTAAACCTATTCTTTAATTACAGTAAGCTCATAAATACTGTCCTAAATTGGAGGAATTATTTATCCTTCTACACTTTTAAAACGAAAACGTTTAATCAATTAGGGCAACACCAGTCTCAAAAACGTAATGCTAGTCCTTCTGTTTAATTGCATCTCTTCATATTCACAACACTTCCTCTGATGTATTTGTTACATCCTTACACACAGTCAATGTCATTTCGCTGTTCTATCATTTCCTTTCTTTCTTTTTCTTACATTTCTTAAATTTTGCTTCTTTTCTCTTATATGTGTTTTAGCATGCCCTTTCTTTTGAATTTTGTATAATAAGCTTATAAATTTTCATTTCTTTTAAGATAGAACAGGTTAGTTTTTGTTTCTTGGCTTTTAAATCTAATGCTTTTAGAGGTAAATGTATCCCTAGACCACAGTGCCTTGCTTCCCACCACCACCACTTGGTGAATGGGCATTAGATGCTGCACAAGCCTTTAGGGCACTGTTTTGGTAGCTGTAAAGTTTACCCAGAAATTGTAGTCAGTGTTTTATTATGTATTCATTCAATTTGTTCATGAATATTAACTATTTCCAGAGTTTGTTTGAAAGTAAGAATCAATCTGTTCTTTAGTTTACCGTAATTTTTCTGGTATAAAAATGAGTCTGAATTAAGCCTTATTGCTAAGTAATTAATTATGTAAACCCACCTAGACCCCACATAAGATTCCCTCCTTGACTTCACTAATGTATATACATGGATTTGGCTAGAAAATGATGCTGCCAGCATTCTAATTATAAATACTTGACTGCACAGATTGATGGAACAAAATTATTGAAGTGTTTTCAGGGAACTTAATCCATATGCCACCACCAAAGATTTCTACAGTGTTATAAAGTATGTAAATATTCTAAATTTCTGTAAAACATTGATTAGATGAATATATTTGCTTTCTTTCTTTTTATTTTTTATTTTTTGGGGTAACACAGTTTGTGCACTGGAATGCTCGAACATTTGTATTGTTAAAAATAATACAATACTATCTTATGTTAAATATTAGTAATTTGTATTGTTTAATCGGAATGGACTAAATTTTTATTTTGTCAGGAAAGTTAAGGAGTTAATATGTATTGAAAAGCAATTTCCTATGTTTTCTGCTGTGTAAGTTGATTCATTTGCAAAGCAATTAGATACATTTTGACAAGATTATTGTTATAGCTGTGTGCAGTGTATATTTCTTAGTCAACATTGTTCAAGAGTAAAGCTTTCTGAAAAGAAAGTACAGCCTTTTTTCTCTTAATGTTTTTAAGATTTAATCTTCTAATAGTATCCTGCAGATTTAACGTATATTAACTCTTTAAACTTTGACCATGAAGTAACATCTTCTCCTCTAACACCTTTTAAATCTCTGTACTTCAGTAGTTAACAAAAAATCAGTTTTGCGATTTTTTAATCTCTTTGTAAAGGCTATCTTTAGGCCTAGTATGGGGGTAATTTTACAAATGTGTTTTTTTTTTGAAAACTTTAATATAAAATAAACTCATTCTATAAGTGATAACTTGTGTCAGAGTATATATGTTGGGTTCCATAAATTGTTATTATTTATTATTGAGTGTGTCTTAGTTAAATAATAGACAACCTATGCACATGCTTAATTTTACAAATCACAGAGCAAATTATAAAAATCATATACATTCTGGAATGCTCATCTACAGGATTACAAAAGAAAGAATTGTTAAATTTGGATGTTAGAAAGAAGAAATAGAAAAAAATAATTAGTACAGAAACCCTAGCCATCAATTTATATTGTTAGTCGTCTCAGACATAAAATATAACACAGAATTCAATTTTATGTATCCTGGAAATGTTCTGGGGTTCCATCTGTTTTAAAGTTAGATATCTGCCTGCCTTGCATTTAAGCTTTAGAGAGAAATTCTGTGTTTAAAAAAGTTTCTTCATGCTACTTCGTTACGTTATATAAAGTATGTTAAAGTATTTCCAGTGGAGTTATATTTTCATTTCTATTAGGATGTATATCCTCGTGATGATCCAAAGAAGTTAGACATTTAAATAAAAATTCAAAAAGAACACAGTGAATTATGAACGGCAACTTTTTTTTCAGTGTTTTAGTCTTCCTGTAAGTGGCTCACTGTTCTTGAGAAAGAGATTCATGGAACAAAAATCATGTCAGAGACTGATTCATTGTTCCCTGGAAAACATTCTGCCCTTTTACCTATCCATCAGTATTCTATCCTTAAACCACTCTCCTTATGGTCTGGTTTTGGTAATGTTTTTTAAATTGCTTTTTACAAGATAAAGCTTTGAACTGAAATTTTAAAGCCCAAGATTGATAATTGTCCCTAAGTACAGGATACCAAGAGACTGTGCTCAAAAAAAGCAGGAATGTCACTCCCACTTACTTTTAGTTCACCTGCAATCTCAGATTAAAGGCAAGTTGAAAGAAGGGAAAAACAGGAAAGTGTGGTATTTTGGCATTGTATGCAAATTAAATTAGCATTTTTTTTCATTCAGAAATATTTCTTGAGTCCCTACTGTGACTGTTACATTTCTGCACAATGCCTGTATCCAAGTAGGAGAGCATCACAATTAATTTAAGGAAAATAATTCTTGCCTTAAAAATAACAAATCCACTGTTACCAAGTGTTTGGAGTGAGTATTATTAATGCTTCGATGTTTTCTTCTAGATTATTTAATAATTTATTTGGTTTCTCCCAAAGCAGATTTTGTTTTTTGGTTTTTTAAATTCTTGATTCTCTTCCTTCCCTTACTTCTTTCATTTAATACATTAGGAAGTCCCTTTGGCTCTCTCCAAAATACATTCTGAATTTGACCATTACGCTCAACCCTCCTTCATCTTTCCCAGTTTAAGCCATCATTGTCTCTCACCTGAAGTCCTCAGGGCATAACTTCTATTTAAGGCTGATGTTCCTGAAACTTTACCACTTTTTTTTTGGTAGCCTTGCAAATTTGTTGAGGTGACTTTTAACCTTGAGTCCCATCAAGGATCACAGTTTCCTATCTTTTCAACTGTTATCTCTGGGAAATATAAAAAGAGAGAAGGCTGTAAAGAGAGATGGGAAGTAAAGAACAGGAGCAGATGGTTTTGCACATCAGCCTTGGAAGAGAAGTGTTTCTCTCCTAAGCATTGTTTAATGCTAGAACTTGGAAAAGGTAAGTGGGAAGAGTCGATGAAGCCAGGTTAGAGTATCTGGCTGAATTCCAATGTGTTTTGACACAACCCTGTCTCAAAATGTTGGGAAAAAGTTTGGAATATATGTGGAGATTTTTTTCCCTCTTCAGAACGTTAGGCATAAATTGTCACTCTAAATTTGAGTGTTACAATAGCTCACAGTTAGTGCCAGGAGTCAATAGTAGGTATCCGTGTTATCCGTGTTAATCAGAGTTCACCAGAGAAATGGAACCAAGAGGATGTGTGTGTGTATCTGTATCTATATCCATATCTATACCTATATCGAGAGAATTTACAGAATTGCTTCATGGAATTTGGCTGTTAAGTTCCAAATCTATAAACCAAGGAAAGAGCTAATGTGGCAGCTCCAGTTGAAGGCATTCTGCAGGTAGAATTCCCTCTTTAGGCCTTCAACTAATTGGATGAAGCCCACCCACATTATGAAGGGTAATGTGCTTTATTCGGGGACTACTAATCTAAATGTAAATCTCCTCTAAAGAATACCTTCACAGTAATATCTATACTAATATCTGACCAAATGCCTGGCTGCAGAGGCCTATGTGGTTGACACATGAAATTAACCATCATAGTATCCTTAAAATTAATTTCCAAAGAAACCATTTACTTTGAAACATAAAGTTGTTTAACTAATTCAATATGTAGAAATTACAAATCTTGGATTTTATTAGTTTCTTTTATGAAGAAAGGGAATGTTGTAGCACATGCTTTATTTGGAAGAGGAAGACTTATACCTTATAAGGCTTGTGACACCCCTTGTGTCAGGTTATGATAATTAACATTTGTGTATCAGTTTGTTTTCCCACTTTGGGGAGAGGTATCATCCCCTTACAGAGAAACTGAGACTCAGCAGTGATCAACCACAATAACTGTAGCTTCAGACTCTTGTGTTGTTAACTCCATTACACTTGGTTATCTTGGCAATCACAGAATCCTTAAACTGCTCAAACTGAAATGATTCCTACTATTTATGTATTATACAAAAATTTCAGACTATTAGAAGATAAAAATAGAGGGAAGTTTTGGAGTTATCTACAGTTAATAGTAGATTTGGTTCTTAGAGTAGCTCCATTAAGGAAAGAAAAGATGCTTTTTAAATGAATGGGAAAAATAAAGACCAAATTTACTATCAGTAAGTGGCTAAGACAAACAGGAAGAGACTTGGAAGAGAGGATGTCGCTTACCCGGGAGGAGTATCCTCTCAGGAAATGCTTTCCTTCCTTCCTTCCTCACCTTTCCACCAGCATTTGCTCCATGGCTTCCTCCTTTCAAACCACACCTTGTAAACCCTTTTATGTGTTCTGTTCACAACAAGGTGAATTTTTGTTTGTTGTTCCATACTGAGTTTTAACTAATAAAACACCAAAAAGGGCCAAATGTCATTTTACACAGGAGATGGGCTTCATTTCAGCTCTAAGTTGAAAGCAAGTACAGCTGGGATATATAGCAGGCTACAGTTTCTGTGTTCTAGGAAAGTGGAACTGTACTATTTATAGTTTACAACATGTTGTATAAAATTAAGCTTGCAGGGGACACCCAGGGAGGTAAATAGACAAAGAAGGGAAGACTTGGGGAACTCTGTTTTGCTATATTCTGAGACGATGCCCATAAGAAAGCCAAAAATAATTTTTAAAGTATTTAACATTAAGCAATGTACAGAAGAGTTTGTGGTCTTTACCTCAGAATAACAAATTCTAAAATTACAAAAGACTGTTGAAAGCTGAGGAGGGGGGAAAAAAACCCTTAATTTTGTAACCTTAATAGAAAAGGGTTTCAGAAAAGCAGGGATAAATAATTGTCACTAAAAGGATCTATCTTCCAAAGTACAAAGCAAAGTTACATGAGATCTGGTTGATATTTGACCCGACAGTCTCAAAGCACATTAGACTGCACCAAGTAATAATTGCTTCCTCATTTAGATTAGACAATGAGTTCTCTCTGCAAGCTGTTCTCCTCTAAATAGATTGTAGAGAGTAATTGAAACAAGTTATACTGGGAAGTGGAGTGACCGATTCCTCAAAGTGAGAAAGCAGAACTATGGTAACCTCTTAAGCCTGGCCTTCATCCTGTTCCTATTTAGGGTATCTGCAGGGCAGCCAGCGAGGAGTGCAGACTGCAGCTCGCCAGCTTTATTGTTTAGACTTGAAGGGAAGGTCATATGCCCTTTTTGACAGAGAGGTTTATGGTCTCTCTCTAATTAGCAGCACCCTCCACCAGACAGACTGTTGGCCACATTCCAAGAACCGGGTTTGGTAGCGGCCGCTGATGAAGGAGAAAACAAGGTTATTTACCCTGTGACTGTAATTCTTGGCACAAATTCCCTCTTTACACTCAGACACGTTTTCTTTTTGTTCCAACTTGCCTTTGGAATTCTGAGTAGGGCGTTGAGGGAGGAAAATGCAGCTATATATTTAGTAGTGTAAGCAACACATATGTTGGCCTCACATACTTTTTTCTTTTTTACTATTCTAGAGCCACACAGTTCAACATCAATTACCCAAAAAGGAAAAAAAAAGGCAACATATTGAGAACGTTGCTCGCAAATGTGAATGCTTGAGCATATGCCCACACACAACCTCAGAAAAGGAAGTTTAATTTGCAAAATCTATAAAATAACGACAGTTTTATATTAGGACACCTCGAAACCCCAGCGGTAAAGTGTGATTTGGTTTAGATATTACTGGAGTGTTAAAAGAGTACCAGGATTATATTTGTCTTGTCTTGTTCTATCGGTTCCGTAGGACAGTGGGTTAAGCTGATAGAAGTGCTTTTTGGTTGATTTAAACCAGATGCTCCGACTATTTTTGTCCTGTTTGCAGGCGTTGCAGCACTGCAAAAGGCAATACTGCCCCCCTCGGCTTTCCGCCAACTGCAGGCGCAGGAACTTCGTCTCCTCCACCGTCTACCTTGGCCATAAAAACCTTCCAAGTCCCCATTATTATTCCAGGCACATTCCAAGGGAGTTGAGTCACTTGGCTTTTCTCCCGCTCTGAACTGCTTGTACCAGGTGGAATACGACCTCCAACTTCAAAAATGGAATCCGTAACCGGTCAAAAAGTGCTTTGGGGCAAGACCCCAATGCAAGCCTACTGTAGCTTCTTCCTCCACACCTAGGGTTTGCAGGCTGTGCACCTGGAGTTCCACGGCCAGGACCAGGGTCGAATGGGGTTTTTCTTCGGGTAATGCCGTAAAGCTGCTCCATTTTCCCCGCTGGTTTGAGAAGCTCCGAGGGCTGCTAGGCAGCGGGACAGGGGCTGAGTTGGAAACTTTTTCCTTTTGGCGGTGCGTCCATTAGTGCTTGGAGGCCAAGGCGGAGAGCCCAGGGG